GCTTCCTTTCTCACTTTCCCTCTCTCTCTTTCTCTGTCTCTCTCTGATCAAACTGGAAAATAATACTAATAAATAGAGTTAAATAAAATAATAGTTTGAAAAAAATTAAAGCCCTCCAAGTGATAAGATACTGCACTTATGGGGACTCGATGGTGGTAAAGCGTGATGCTCAGTGAGGCTGACCCACATGGGAAGGTTTCTGGTTCACATCTGGAGGCTTCCCTGGGTGAGATGGGCACTCGTGTACCCAGGATCCAGGGTTGGCTGAGACAGGGGCATGAATCATGGCATCAAGACCCTGTATGGGGTGCTGTGTCTACGTGTCTCTCTATCTCGGAAGAAATAAACAAACAAAATAATCAAGATATTGCACTTATAAAGCAAAAACCTAATACTATAAAAACATACAAAGAATTAAAAAGTTACTCAAAATAAAAAATATGGAGAAAAAATCAACAGAAGGAAAAAAGATAAAATACTGGAAATTCCTTATAACACGAAGAAAAGTCAAAGGTATAAGAAAACAGGTAAGAATAAGAATTTGAAGAGACACAGCAGTAACACCCAGATTGGTGATGACTCTATGCAAGAGGTAGAATAGTCGTGAAGGGCCACCAAGCCAAACTGGAGCAGGTTAGAAGGCAAAGACTGGCCCAGCCTGGTGGCATAGCTGGTAGCCAATCCGACTGCTGTGCTGGAAGCCATGGGGCTGATTCGGATCCTGGGAGGTGTTGCTGTACAAGGGTGTATGTGCCCAGGAAGCCGAGGAGCTGGAGTGCAAGGGAAACAGTACCACAGCAGGACAAGACCCTGGCCAACGTGCTTCTCTCTCCTGCTCTCTCTCTCTCTGGGGAAAGGGGGGATCACAGTATGACAAGACCGGTCAGGGAAAGGAGATGACAGCATAACAAGACCCTGGATGTTTGTCACTCTCTCATGCATGTATGCACATGCACACATACATACATACACATACACACATACACACACACACACACACACACACACACTGTATTACAAGTAAGTAAATAAACTTCAAAAAAAAAATAAAAAGAAGGCAAAGATGGTCTTTCAAATGATGAAAGTAGGGACCAGCAGTTAGCGTAATGGCTATGTCGCTGGACTTCCACGTAGTCGGCCGCAGTTTGAGTCCCGGTCCCGGTGGCTTAAACTCACGCTGGGCGTGTGTGCGTGCCCAAGATCCCAAGAGGAGAATGGAGGAGAAGGGACTGCGGCGTGGCCATCCCCCCTAAGGGATGATTTCTTGCTTTCTGTCCCTCTGTCTCTCTCTGTCTGTCTGGCGAGCGCACACGCCCTATAGCAAAAAAAACCTCTCCAAAAAAAAAAATGGTGAAAGTAAAAACCTACTGCATCAGGGATCAGTAGGAGGCTTAATACTTAAGGCACTGGACTCCCATATGGCCAACCGCGGTTCAATTCAACAGTTTGAAACTCACATGGGGCACATGTGTGTACGTGACCTAAATCCTGAGAGGAGAATGGAAGAGAAGGGATTGAGGCATGGCCATCCTTCTAGAGGGGTGATTTCTCATTTTCTCTCTCTCTGTTTCTCTGTTTCTCTCTTCATGAGCGCACATGTCCTACAGCAAAAACCTCTCAAAAAAACCCAAAACCTACTGAATCTAAATATTTTGGGAGATAATTTATACAATTTTGAAAGTTTAGTGTTGAGTCAGCAGTAAGTACAGACAGCTAATCAACACTAGAGCATGGCACCAACTGTAGAGAAAACACTGCAGGAAAAGTTATCCAGTACATACTGAGGGTTCAGCTATGAACATGGTGTCACACAGTCCCTAGAAAAAAATAAACACTGAATACTGAGCTAACCAAAACTTCACTAAGTACAATGGCATGACGGAGGGGCCCTGCGAGTGGAAGGGTGTATATGCTGGGGGCTAGAGAAATGTGGTCAGAGTATTAACGGCAAGATCTACCACGCCTGGGTTAAGTCAACAAGCAATGGAAATACTGAAGTGTTAAAGCAGGAAGCAGTTTCCACTCTAGAAGACTGGATATGGGTGAGGGTTGATGGAAACTGCTAGTTTTCAAAACAAACCTTTCAGAAATATTTGGATAAGATGAAAACTAGTTTTCGAGACCAATCCACGGGTGGTGGTTATTGGATCCCACATGGTTTACTGTGCAACTGGACTCTTGGACCTCATGGACTGAAAAACAGACCCTATGGGGGCCAGCGGGCAGAACGTTAAGGACCTGGACTCCCATATGGTCAACTGCAGTTTGATCTGGTGGCTTGAAACACACTGAGCATGTGTGCATGTGTCCCCAAAATCCAGAGAGAAAGAAATGCAGCGTGGTCATCCCCCCAAGGGGGTGATTTCTCACTTTCCTTCTGAAAGAAAAGAAAAAGAAAAACATGCCAGGTACGTGTGTGTGTGTGTGTGTGTGTGTGTGTGTGTGTACACACATGCTTGAAATCTGGAAAGGAGAGCTGAAGAAGGGATTGTGGTGTGGCTATTCTCTATGTGAGAGGAGGGAGAGTGCTTTCTCACCATCACCACCCCACCACGTGCCCTGTGGCAAAATTTAAGAAAAGAAAAAATGGAGCCAGCAGGTGGCATAATGGTTGAAGTGCTGAACTCTCACATGGCTAGCCATGGTTTGAGTCTCAAACCTGGCAGTTTGCTTTCTTGGGACCAGGAGATGGCTTAATGGTTATGTCGCTGGACTCTCACATAGTTGACATCAATTGGAATCCCATACTAGGTGGCTTGGGACCAGCAGTTAGCATAATGGCTATGTCGCTGGACTCCTATGTAGTTGACCATGATTCAAGTCCCAGACCCGGTGACTTAAACTCACACCAGGCACGTGTGCATGCGTGCCCAAGATCCCAAGAGAAGAATAGAGGAAAAGGGATTGCAGTGTGGCCATCCCCGCTGGGTGGTGATTTCGCGCTTTCTGGCTGTCTCTCTCTTTCTGGCAAGCACACACGCCCTATAGCAAAAACCTCTCCAAAAAAAAAAAAAGAATCCCATACTAGGTGGCTTAAAACTCACACTAGGGGCATGTGCATACATGCCCAAAATCCTGAAAGGAAAACGGAAGAAAAGGGATTGTGGCAATGCCATCCCCCGAGGGATAATGGTAGCTTGGAATGAAATGGCAGCAGGGAGATTGGGGAGCATGTGATTAGAAAGCAATTTTCTTCATAGGCACAGCAGAAGTTACAGACTAGATGAACCAAAAGAGAATAAGGATGACTCATGGACACAGGTATGGGGGTGTGTGTGTATGTTTTGGTTTGTTTTTGTTTTTTCTTTTTGTTTAAAAAAAGAATTATTTTACTTAATTTTATTCATTGTTTTTAAGTTGACCAGAGAGAAACAGAGAGAAGGAAAAATGAGAAAGCGATTTCACTTGAGTGATTGTATGATTAGAAATACTTTTTTGGGGGTAAGGTTTTTGCCAAGGCCACCAGAGCAAGCCAGAGAGAGACACAGAGAGGGAAAGTGAGAAATCATCCACCAGGGGGGATGGCCACACTGCAACTCCTTCTCCTCCATTCTCCTTTCAGGATTTAGGGCACGCATGCACATGTGCTGCTGATTCAGGATTCTAACCACAGCCAGCTATGTAGGAGTCCAGCACCTTAACCACCACACCACCTAATGGCCCTTTTTCTTAAACAAACAACAAAAAAAAGTTTTTTGCCATAGGACACAAGCAATTGGCAAAAGAAAGACAAGAGAGAAAGTGAAATACTGAGGCAGGAGAAAGCTAGCAAATGGATGGGGTAAGGGTACTGGAGTATCTGCATAATGGCTAGATTTAAAATAAATAAATAAATAAAACCTAACCAGAGCAGAAAATTCCCCACCCAAGATAAAGGATTAGTAAGGGATGTCTATCTCATTAAGCCACATTGGATATAACCAATGAGATGAATCAGTGGTCCCAGCCACATTTGATATAGCCAATGAGATCAATTAGTGGGCCCAGCCACATCTGATTGAGCCAATGAGAGGGAAACAATCAGTAGGCCCAACCAATGATCAACTGACAACCTAGATTTAAAAATTAGGAAGGTAACTGCCGGGTCCTTTCTGAGCCACTCTTTTTTCTGTTTACTCGGCCCACTCCTCAGCCGCATACTTTTGCTTTTTCTTAATAAATGACCTTTTTTTCCTTTCGCTATTGGCGTGTTTAATTCTTTGTCCAAAACACCAAGAATCTAGTATCATCCCACAACGAAGTCACACCACCTCCACGCCATGGCCACGCTGCAATCCCTTCTCTTCCATTTTCCTCGGGATTCTGGGCACCCACTCACACACTCCCTCCTGGTCCTGACCCAAACCGGTAGGCCATGTGGGAGTTCAGTGCCTTTACCACCATGCCACCTGCTGGCCCCGGGTGGAAATACTTTTTAAGTCTGGAAAAGGGGCAGGATGTGGAAGTAGTTTAGGGTGAAAAGATGGGATGGCACCCCGTTTGAGACATCTATGCAATACAAAAGTTCCAGGAGGAAAACGATGTTGGAAGACGCTGCAGGGGCAACCAGCACATCTCGTGACTTTCACAGGCCAGCTCTCCTGAGCGCAGAAGGTGGCTCCATCTAGCCTGGACGTGGTGGCGGCTAGCAAGTCCCTGGGCCCAGAAAGTGTGAAAACGCCCGACGCTGGAACGCCTTCCAGCCTTCGGGAGCGGCGGCGTCGTTTGGGGACCGCCCCACGGCGTCCCTGGATACAGGGCAGGGTTCACGTGCAGGTTCCCGCGCTTCAAGAGGCGGCGGTGGCCGAAGCCGGCTCTCGGGGCGCAGCTGCACCGAATGTCCCCGCGCTCCCTTCTCGGGCCAGGGCGGCCGAGGAGCCGGGACTCGAGGGCGGGGACGCTCGGGGCAGGACAGAGAGGGGGCCACAGAGGTCACTGGGCTGACGCCCACCGGGCCGGGCGCGCCTCACGTGACCGTGGAGAGGGACAGTCCGCCTCTCGCCGCAGATGGAATCGCTCACCCGATGGCACGTAGTCCTCGTCCTCTTCAGAGGAGGAGAAGTCTTCAGAATCGAATTCCTCCATGTCGCTGCCACTCGGGCCGGCCAACCCACAGGTCCGCAGCAGCTGCCCCCAACCGAGAAGCCCTAGGGAGAGACCATAGAGTTGCCCGGCGGCGGCTGCGAAGGCAGCTAGGACGGCCCCAGCGGCGTGTGCACATGCGCAGAGGGTGCTACGTGGTGAAGACGACACTTCCGGCCGGTGCCTCTGGGCTGACTCGCCCTTGGCTCTTGCGGTAGTACGACCTGCGCGGGAGCGGTGCATGCTGGAACTTGTAGTTCTCAGCGCTACTTCGGCGCCTTGATTAAACAAACTTGCCTCAATTAAATTAATAAAATAAAACGATGATAATACAGTTGACTCTCATTACTCATGGGTTCGTATTTTCAAGTTCCCTTACTTGCTAAAATTTGTAAACCCATCAAAAATCAGAACGCTTACTAGGGTTATTCCTGGGCATGCGCAGAGGTTGAAAACTTGGCGTCCACCGAGATACTCGCTCCTGGTCGAAGTTGAACTAGACGGAGGCCCCGCCTCCTTGTTTCGGCTCTCAAGGTTGTAAACAAGAACCTTTTCGCAGTCTACGTAGTGTCATTTTTTTTTTTATGCTTTTTATTGGTAGTTTTGCTGCTTTAAATGGCTCCCAAGCGCAGTGCCGAAGTACTGCCTAGTATTCCTAAGCGCAAGAAGGCCGTGATGTCCTTATGGAGAGAATCCGTGTGCTCAATAAACTCGCTCAGGCCTGAGTTACAGTGCGGTTGGCCGTGAGTTCAATATTAACGAATCAGCAATCCAGTATGTCAATAGAAAGAAGAAAATTCGCCGATCTGTACGGGAGGCTGCTCCGGAGAGTGCTAAAGTCACAGCTATAGTGCGTGATGAAGCTATGGAAAAGCGACTGAATTTGTGCATTCATGAGATAACGACCCATAGAAAAAGCATAGTAGACAGCACTGTTGTGAGACTGAAAGCAAAAGAAATTTCTGGTCACATTATCCAGGGTCAGAGAAATGTGAAACCCTTCTGTACTGGTGCTGGCTCGCTTGTCTGTTTCAAAATGCCTTATGGTATAGAAAACGGTAAAAGTGCAAATGAGACAAGTCCTACAGATCAAGAGACTACAGAAGAATTTAAAAACTACCTGCCAAGTGTTGTACAGGAAAATGGTTATGTGGGAGAACAGATTTTTAATGCCGATGAGACTGGCTCATTTTGCAAGAATATTGGCAAACAAACCTATGTCATGCAAGTGACCCCCAAAGCCATTGGCTTTAAATTTTTCCAAAACCATGCAGTCTGACTTTTGTGCACCAATACCAAGGGGGATTTTAAATGTAAACCCCTAATAGTGTACAGAGCCCAAACTCCTCATGCATTTAGAGACTGTGAACAATCTAACAGTCCATTGGAGGTGGAACATAAAGGTGTGGATGATATCTGATTGGTTCCACAAGTGCTTAATCCCAGAAGTTGAACACTATTTCCAGGGCTTCTTGCCTTCAAGGTTATATTCATTTTGGATAATGCCCAGTCCATTGTGAAGACTTGAAAATGTACATCCCAACATAGTTCTTTTTAAGACCCTCCAAACTACAACTCTAATCTGACCCCTCAATCAGGGCATACTGAAAGCTTTCAAGGCATACTACACGAGGCAGCTCTACACCAGGCAGCTCTACACCAGGGTTTGTGAGGCTCCCAGGGCCAATAAAGAAGCCACCATGATGGACTACTGGAAGTCGGTTATTATACACAGGGTTATTGATTACGTTGGCACAACTTGGGATAGCATCAAGCAGGCTACTATTAATAACTGTTGGGAAAATGTTTGGCCTGACGGAGTGGAAATTTTTGAAGGCATTACAGAAAATATTAAAAACTGTCAAAAACATAATGCAGATTGCACAGCAAATTAGTGGAGAAGGCTTTGATGGCATGAAGGAAGAAGAGGTGGAAGAAAGTTTGACAGAGAGGGCAGTAGAACCCACCAATGAAGACTTGGAAGAGATGGCAGAACCGGGCATTGGAGTCAGTGATGATGAGGACAGCAGTCTAAGACTCCAAGAACTGTCCCTTTCACAGCAGACAAAATAGAATGGAATTCTGGTCTGGAAAAAAATGTTAATGACATGGAAGAATGTGACCCTATGCTTGATCAGAGCCTTAAATTTCAACCCCTGAGCCACTGCATTTGCACACTATACAGAGATGCTTAAATATTTGAGGCAGAAAGCTAAGCACACAAGCCTGACACATTTTCCATGCCAGTTTGGGAGGGGAAATTACCGACTCAGTCAACAAATGACAAGCGCCAAACTCCTAAGGTAGAACTGCCAGATATCAACATACGATCCTCTTCCTCTTTTGCAGCATAAATTCCACCAACCTCTCCCTTGGTTTTCATGGGCAAGCCAAGGTTGAGAGGCTTAACGCTTAACACTGTGCACTGCTTCATCACACCTGCAGCTCCATCAACAGTAAGATTTTAGTTGATGTTTTTATTAAGCTTTATATGCTCAATTTTTATTTTTTCAGGATTTGATTTATATTTCTATATAGAGTATGTGCGCATGGTATTGCATGTATTTACTTTTTCCTTTTTTAGAGAGGTTTTTGCTATAGAGCATGTGTGCTCACTGAAGAGATAGACAGAAAGCAAGAAATCACCCTCTGGGGGGATGGCCATTTTGCAATCCCTTTTCCTTCATTCTCTCAGGATCTTGGGCACGCACGCACATGTGCCCATCGTGAGTTTTAAGCCGCTGGGTCTGTGAGGGAACCACAGTCAACTACGTGGGAGTCCAGCAATGTAACTATTACGCCATCTGCTGGTCCCATGTTTACTTTGACAACTGTACATTGTCATACTCTCTTTGCTTACTGTATGTGAGCACCATATATATATATTCTCTGTGTGTACATGACAGAAAAAGTATACAATCGCCCTAGAGTACATTACAGCAAAAAGCTGTAATTGAAATTATCTTATTATAAAGAAATGCTACATAATTATTTGCCAGAAATACATATTAAGGAAAGTGTCTTTGAACAGAAACATATACCAAGCAAAACTATGTACTGATCAGCTGACAAAAGTATTGTGAACAGAGGCAGACAGGAACCTAACCCTGTATTTCTCCCCAGAACACTGGTTTAGTGTTTGCTAATTTGGTGTTCATAATGGCTTTATAGGCATAACTACTGTGAATAGCCAGAATCCACTGCATTCTAAAATGAAGACATCATCTTTACTTCAAGCTACTCCATATAGAGTGCAAGCATGTATAGCCTTTTTTAAAAAAGATTTAATTTTAGCATCATTTTTTTAAACTTGCATGTGCACTCACCAGAGAGAGAGAGAGAAAGTGAGCCATCAAGTCCAGGACCTGAATGATGGTTGGTCATGTGGGAGTTCAACACTTTAACTACCACAACATATGTAACATTTCTCATTTTTCTTTCTGATTAAGACATTTAAGTTATAATCCAGTTATAGCAGGTAGTAATCAGAGCAAATGCAGGTGAGACATCGGCAACTACCCTATTTGTTCAAACTATGAACAAAGTGAGGGTTTTTCCAGCTGAAAGTTGCTCTTTATTTATACTCTGGAATAGTCTGGTTCTGTGTCCCAGAGTTACCTAAATCAAGGTGTACTTAAGACCGTGTCTTTTTTAAAAAAAATATTTTATTTTACTTTTATTTATTTATTTAAATTCGAGCAGAGAGAGAGAGAGAGGGAAAGTGGGAAAACAAGCTGCTAGGTCTGGGACTCGAACCGCAATTGACCATGTGAGTCCAATGCCTTTAACCACCCTGCCACCTACAGGCCCCGAGACATGTCTTTCATTAAAAGGTCATTACAGTGGCTCTATGCCTGCAAACTTTAAAAAATAAATAAATTCATGATATAGTGTGTGCACGCGTGAGAGAGAAAGGAGCACTCACCACAGGATCCGGTCACACTGAGTCTTCTTCCTCTGGTCCTCCACCCCTTTAATCCTGGGCACTAACGTGTGTCTGGTGTGTTTCAGCCTACTTGGCCAGGGGTTTGAACTACAGTTTCCATGTGGGCGACAGGTTCACTTGACCAATGAATTACTGCTGTGCCACAGAGCTGGCCCCCAGCAAACTTTTAGAACAGTCTTGAAACATAATTCATACACCATAAATACTTTCCACTAAAGTACACAACTCATTAGCTTTTGGTATACTCAGACTTGTGCAATTATCACCAAGTCAATTTTAGAACATTTTCATCACCCCTAAAAGCAACTCCTCACCCAGTAGTCTCCATTTCTCCCAATCACCAGCCTCTATAGATTTGCCCATTCTGAACATTTCATGTCGATAGAATCATACAATGTGTGGTCTTTGGAGACTGGCTTCTTTCTCTTAGCATGGTGTTTCCCAAAGTTCACTTTTCTCAGGTATATCCCAGATGTGGAAGTTGCTTATCACATAACTGTTTTTATTTTATAAGCAACTGCCAAGCTATTTCCAAAGTGGTTGCACCATTTTATATGGTCAACCAGTAGTGTTATGAGGGTTCCAATTTTTCTCTCCCCTTGCCAACATCATGTCTTTTTAATTATAGCCAACTTAGTGGGTGTCAAATGGTATATCATTGTAGTTTTGATTTGTACTTTTCTAATGACCGATTATGTTAAATTAAGCATCTTTTTGTGTAAGCATCATCTTACTGGCCATTGTATATGTCCCTTGGAAAAATATGATGCTTTGCTCATTTTTAAATTTAATTTTTTTTATTGTTGCTTTCTAAGGTCTTTATATATTCTGGATTCCAGTCCTTTACAAACTACATGAATTAAAAATATTTCCTATTTCGTGAGATGTCTTTGTACTTTGATGTTTGAAGCATAAAGGTTTTTAATTTTGATTCAGTTCAACTTATCTATTTTTGTTTCTTAATCCTTGTGCTTTTGGGATTATAGCTAAGACGACTTTGCCTAAGCCAAGATCACAAAATTAACTTTTTAAAAATTTGCCAGAAGGTGCATGTGCTCGTCAGAGAGCAAAGGGGCACAGGGTGGGGGTGAGAATGTACCTTCCATGGGACAGGGTCCTGCTGCATTCTCTTCTCCTCCGTTTCTTCTTCCTTTCAGGATTTTGGGCACATACACGTGCCACCTGTGTTTTGCAAGCTGCCAGGTCCAGGACTCAAATCACGCGTTTGACCATGGGGAGGGATCAAGCTGCCTACTCCTGTTTCCTTCTAAGTGTTTCAGCTTTACTTTTTTTTTTTTCTGGAGAGGTTTTCGCTATAGGGCGCGTGCGCTCGCCAGACAGAGACATAGAGACAGAAAGCGAGAAATCACCCCCCAGGGGGGATGGTCACGCCGCAATCCCTTCTCCTCCATTTTCCTCCCTGGAGTTTGGGCACGCACGCACACACACCTGGCGCGAGTTCTAAGCCACCAGGTCCAGGACGCGAACCGCGGTTGACTACGTGGGAGTCCAGCGACATAGCCATTATGCTAACTGATGGTTATCAGCTTTACTTCTTATATTTATATTATAGACATTTACGTCTATGATCCATGTAACCAGACTTTTCTTATGGGATACTTAATACAAACATAGATGTGAAACTTGGACCCAGTATTATGGAATTTACCACTCTTGACTTCATTTTCCTGTCCCAACCCGCAGGACAGTAGAACAGGTTTCCTGAGGGAAGGAGTGAGAGATGGGAGGGACAGTGCAATGTTACAACACAGGGAGGACACAGTGTTATAGCTCTTCAGGGTCATCTGTTTATTGTGAGCCAGGGATCATGGTTATATACATGTTGGTGGGCGGTGATTGGTTGTTAAAAGGTGAATTATGATTGGTTGCTTTTGTGGACCAACCATGAGGTGCCGGATATGCAAATCTGAGGGATTCTAAGCTCACCAATCAGTGAGCGCTATGGGAAGTGGCCAATCAGAGCAAGGTTTTGAAGGGGAGCCAATCATGAACTTTGTCATTATGTAATTGCTTGCTCTCTGAGGAACCAAAACCTAAGGGCTTCCTACAATGGCAATAGTAAGAGACTCATGAAAATGGCCTCAGCATTCTCGCTGGTGCGCAGCCTCCCACATGTTCCCTAGAGAGCATCAACGGACCAGCAGTGACAAGCTGACATCCAACTTTTCACTCCATCATCAGATGATGAGTTTGGGGGAAAAGGATGCTTCAGGCATTCTTCAGAAGCCTGTCCCCTCCAGACTCCCCCAATTTCTCCCAGAACTCCATGTAATTGTTCAGATTCCAACCACTTTTTTTCTTTTTTTAAATTTGCTAGGTGTGCATACTCACCAGAGAGTGTGAGGGGCAGCAGGAGAAAGCAACCCCCAGTGGGGTGTGGTTATGCTGCAACCCTGTCTCCATTTCTGCATTGTTAGGATTATAGGCCCACACACCTATGTACACACACACACACACACACACTGTTGGCCCTGCAGAATCCAACTCCCTTAACCAACAGGTCTTTGGGCTGCCTCCCTGTCAGATCATTTTAAAGGTAACTGGAGGGACCAGCAGGTGTCGTGGTGGTTAAGCACTGCACTCCCACAAGGAAACAGTTGTTCAAGCCCTAGATCCAGTAGCTTGAGAATTATACCAGGTGTGTGTGTTATGTGTGTGCCCAAAATCCCAAAAGGAGTAAAGGAGAAGGGATTGTGGTATAGCCATCCTCCCTGTGGGGTTTTCTTACTTTCCTCTCTCTTGTCTCTCTCCAGCAAGCACACATGCCCTGTGGCAAAAATACATACATACATAAATAAATAAACTTAAAAAAGTAAAAACAAATAAAAATTTTAAAAAGAAAAAATAAAGGTAACTGGAATGGAAACTATTTTCTATTGTGTCAAATACTTTAAAGAAATAAAAGTACTGGTTAAGCAGGCCAAATCCAACTCAAATATGTATTGCTTGACCTAAGTGATTTACATGAATTTAAATTAGTTGCCAGCACTTAAAATGGAGAGATTTCAACTAATCTAGATTTCCAGCTTCTGTTGACTAACTGGAAAACCTGCCAACATTGGGTTCATAATCCCACAGAGCAGAAACTGCCTAGAGCCAAGCGCCAGCTGGCTCCTTTAGACAGGGGTCTCCAGATGGCCACGGGGCTAAGTTCCCCAATTTGGTTCCAGTTCACTATGACTCTGTTGTCCTATCAATAATGAAGGGGTCCTCCCTGCCAAACTCAGCATCTTTAACCCCTCGCATCTAACTGTCCCTTTGGGTTGTTACCTATTTGCACACTGGAAGTTCCTCCCATTGGGTTCCAGACACATGTAACCATGGGGGCTTCTGGCTGAACTCTGTATCTATCATACTGGGGTGCTGGTAGTTACTTAGGTGTATACAAAGATAAAACTTCTGAGTTATACACCTAAGGTTTGTGTACTTAGTGTCTGTTAAAAGTTAGAGAGGTAGGTAAAGAGAATGAATGGGCAGTGTCCTGCCAGACTGTGCCTACAGTGCCTGGAACTGCAGCAGTCATCCGTGGCCATGAGGTAAACTACCCAAATTAGGGGCCAGCAGATGGCTAATGATTACATTGCTGGACTCCCACATAGTCGACCAAGGTTCGAGTCCCAGACCCGGCAGCACAAAACTCACTCTGGGCACACGTATGCATGGGCCCAAAATCCCAAGAATGTTAGAGAAAGGGCTGCAGCATGGCACCCCCCTAGGGGGTGATTTCTCACTTTGTCTGTCTCTGACGCTCTGGTGAGTGCATGACCCTATGGCAACAAATCTAAAAACAAAACAAACAAAAACCCAAATTAGATAATCCAATTTGCTGAAAATGACAGAATATAGAGACTTATGATGTAACTGAGAATATTAAATTCACTAACCACAGAGCTTTAGGGAGCTCACCCCATAGCCTACAGGTTGAAGAGGCTGGATCCCACATGGCTAACCATGGTTCAAGTCTCGGTCCTGGCCACTTGAAAAACACACTGGGTTTGAATGTATATGTGCTCCAAATCTTGACGGATGGAGAAATAGAAGGGATGCAACATGACTGACTGCGTCCCATGGGAAGTGCTTTCTGCCTCTTCCTGTCTCTCTGGTGCGTACGTAAGCCCTCTGGCAATAAAAAAGAAAAAATTTTCATATACCGCATCAGTATTCTGCCACGTCAGTATAGAATCATACAAAAGCTTCTTGATGGCAGAATACGGCCCCAAAAGTAGAGTTAGTAAGAATCAAGTTCACATGTAAGTATATTTTAATCACATCTTTGAACAAAAATTTTATCATAAATTAGTAAGCTGAACATAAACGAAATTCAGTCATATATTGGGTCGTGGAAAAGTCAAGACGTTATTTTCTATGCAAAAATGCCATGACTTTTCTGACAACCTAAGACATTAGGTTATTACATGTGCTTATTAAGTTATTACATGTGCTTATGTGCCCTATATTCTGGTCGGATAGAGGAATGGAGAAAAAGAGATTGTGAGATGACCAGGACCTACTGGGGAATTCTTTCTCACTCTCTGGTGATCACATGTCTTCTGGCAAATAAAAAAAAATATTTTAGGGGCCGGCAGGTGGTGGTTGAAGCACATGGTCAACTGCAGTTCGAGTCCTGGCTGGACCTGGAGGTTTGCTTTCTCACTTTCTTTCTCTCTCTGGTCAATTAAAAAAAAACAATAACAAATAAAATTAAATAAATAATGCTTTAAAAATATTTTTAGATGCAACATTACTAAAAAACAAATAACACTGAAGTCAAACAACTTTAATCTAAAAGATTAAATTCACTGGCCACCAAGGGAAGAAAAAACACAATTCCAAGTCACAGAATTGAAAGTAACTGTTTATTGATAAACATTTGCACTAGGATTAGAAATGTCAGTAGAAAAATAAAATTTAAATAATTTTCTATTGTACAAAGATTTGATCACTGTGACTGCAGCAGTTAGTGAAATAACATAATACAAAGAGTTAAGCTGATTTTAGTCACAATCAGCCTTACAGAGTGCACGAAAAGAAATGCAGGTACGGAAACTCTGCGTGAATGGCTAATGGCGCCAGGACACAGCTCCTTAGAGAAGGTCAGGATGTTTTGCAGAGTAAGAACCTCAGTCAAACCAGAGCAGTCAGAAGGAACACTGGAATCAAAAGCCACCAGACAATTTAAAGACTTTAAAATATAAGGAAGGATTTGAAGATAATTATTTGCATGAACTTTTTCTCAATAGTTTAAAACATTGTGTGAGAAGTACTATTATCTGACTGCTCCGGAAGTTAAGAGCACACAGAGGCACCTTCCTCTTAGAATATTCACTACCCTTTTGTATATGAACTTACATCTTCAGGAAATGCTTGACCCTAAAGCACCACAGAATCATGAAATATGGGGAACCAGCAGTTAGCGTAATGGCTATGTCGCTGGACTCCCATGTAGTCGACTGCGGTTCGTGTCCCGGACCCGGTGGCTTAAAACTCACGCCGGGCGCGCGTGTGTGTGCGTGCCGAAGATCCCGAGAGGAGAATGGAGGAGAAGGGATTGCGGCATGACCATCCCCCCTGGGGGGTGATTTCTCGCTTTCTGTCTCTCTGTCTCTCTGTGTCTGTCTGGCGAGTGCATGCGCCCTATAGCGAAAATCTCTACAAAAAAAAGGAACATGAAATATGCTTTTATGGTTAAGGACCGCCTTCCTCCTGTGCATTTTTTTTTTTTTTTTAGGAAAAAAGGAAAGCATAGCTGGGAGATGGGCAGTTGTATATGTCTCTTAAGAAACATATGGACCAGTAGATAGTGTAATGATTACGTTGCTGGACTCCCACAGTCAACTGTGGTTTGAGTCCTAGGCTTGGAGGCTTAAACCCATGGCGCACATATATGTGTACATGCCCAAGATGAAGATCCCAAGAGGAGAAGAGATTAGCGGGGCCATTCCCCCCTGGGGGATGGTTTCTTGCTTTCTGTCTCTCTGTCTGTCTCTGTCTCTCTGACGAGCACATAGGCCCGATAGGAAATATCTCTCTTAAAAAAAAAGTCAGCTGTTGGCAAAAATGCTCAAAAAACTGTATAACATAAAATAAAATGTTCAACATAAATGCCAATATTATTCTATCTGAGCAATCCCTCCTAAATAATTCGGTATTTGAAACATTAAAATAAAAGAAAGAAAATCAAGGCAGAATAGACATTCATTATCATTCACATAGTTTCTCCCTGAAAACATGTCAAGCACACAGTTCGATATATATCAAGTCTATAAACCTTTATTCACAGGAGACTCCTTCACATACTGGGATGGCTGAAACATTCAATCATTTGAAGATACATTTTATATTTGAAGTTTTTAAAAAAGATTAGATCATCAAAATACTTCAAATGAGAAACAGAAACAAAAACGAACACATTTCAAAAAATGCCTTAGTTTTTGTGTCTTGGCTCTAAAGAAAAATAACCTGATATTTTAATCATGGATCAATAGGTACAAAAATTAGTATTCAGGAAGAAAGGTCCACCAGCTATTGGCCCACATACTTAGCTTGTGAAATTATATCCAAAGGAATGCTGTTAAGTGTTCTAAGAAGCATTTTTAAATAGATATGATCAAAATTACTTCTCATCATAAAGAATACAATTTCCCCAAATTTCTCAAACTGAAGGGGCACTATTCAAAATCAAAGCTCCTTTAAAAACTGCAATCCCAGAAATGTACCTGCAAGAAAGATTTGAGCTTCTGGTTGGAGAATTTTCAAGAACACCTGGCTACATTCCAATTCTACTTGTAATTTTCCATGTAGTCTAAGCAGTCCTCACTATAATTTTGCTAGGTGGTTTAATTAGTCCAAAGAACCTTTCCAGCTAATTTTATGATCCATTTGTAATTTTTCTCTGGCTTTCCCTGGCAAATCAGTCGTCCTGGCTACATGTACCCGAAGCCAGAGTGTATACTGCTTTAAATGGCATAGACACGTTCCTGTGCACATAACCTCATGAGTTAATTAAGCCTTAATCTCAGGATGAAAATTCCTTCAAAAATATCAGATTTCATTATCAGAAACTGTTCTGAAAACAGGTAACGAGAGCAGCATTGACTATTCTACACACAATAGTTGAGATGCTAAAGATCAAGTTAGATACTTAATTTTTGTAGTCCTTCGCCTTTTTGATGGTCACAGTTTTGAGGCCTTTTTAATGCAAAAGAAAGATGATAAAATAAAAATAAAAATTTCTTCTTAAGGATATAAATTCTCTTGAATAAAAATATAAGAAAGGGGGAGAAATCTGAAAAATTAAACTTCAGGCACTTTCTGGGAGTTGATACCCAACACTGTAAAAATGGGCTGAAGAGCCGCCACTAGGCAAACACATTAAGTCTAAGAAAGCAATAACCTAAACTAGTTACAGCCGCACTTCTACAATGTCTCAAATTACCAATAAACCAAAGTCACTAAGAAAAACTAAAACAGAAATGTTTAAAGTATCTTATTGGTGCCTCAATTTCTAGAGAGTATCTTAACCAATCTGGCCTAAAATTGTCAACTCAAGCTATTTAATAGCATATGTATATCACCAATTAAACTAAACAAAATTAACAGAATTAAAAGTGCTAGGAAAAGGTGGTACAGAATTTTTTTTTAAAAAAAGGTCTCAGCTAGCTGTAATAAAACGTACAAAACAAATTCACATCTCTTAAAATATATTAAATAATCAGAGGTCAAGATAGTCATCCACAAAATATCACATTATTCAGTTACCTACTTCTTTAAACAGTGGTACCAAAGTCACCACTTCATAGATTTTTTTTTTCAGTTATATTTCACCAAATTTGTTCTCAAAGCTATATCGAACCAAAACCAGTCATTTACTGTCACGAAGATGTAGCAAAAGAAAAGTTTCTCGAATTCTAATCAAGATTAGCTCAGCAAAGATTTTAATATAGCGTACTCTGCTCAGCTGAAACGAACCAGTATTTCCCATGGTTCTCTGAAATATGTGACACTGCATCCCCTCACACAGTGTTGTACATTTCAGTGCAAGGGACGCCAGCCCAAAAGCATTGCTGACCTGGCTTAGGTAGGCGCATGTGTAAAACTGCTTAAATTAAATATCTATCATTTAAAAAGCCGAGATTTATTTTAATTTGATTGAGAAGAAGAGAGGTCCACAAAGATCTTCAATGCCTGCAGCTTCAATGACGAAATGAGATGCTGTCCACATTCCTGTTCATCCACGCTGCTTCCATTTGAGAATGAAGAAAACATATTCCATAATGAATTCTTTTTGAGGAGTCTATGAAACAGGTTCCACATCACAGCAGAAGGGTGTATGCTACAGAGTAGCTAAAACCCGTAAAAAGGAGACCACCACTACGCAAAATGTCTGCCCAATGCCCAGTGTGAGGGCTTCAAAGGGAATCATTTCCTTCCCTGCTGCTCGGTAAACTCCAGCAATTGCGGCACCTATTAAAAAATTCAAGGGGGGTAAAAAAAAATCACAGTTAACAAAATGAGGAAAATATAGCACTTAAAATTCTACTATAAGTAGACTGTTACAGAATTTTTATGCTAAGTTTAAGTATTACAGAAATGTTTTCTCTATTCTTTCTGCTGACTACTCTAGTAATCTACATGGTTTGCAAATCACTGACCCATGCTTTCCCAAAACTTCTTAAAACAGACAGCCTCCTAGAGTTAATGAATGAAATAATCTGGAGGTAATAATCAAAATTACAAATATAGCAATTTTCGTATGACCTGATTATGAACCGAAAACAGCTCTTTATTTTCCTGCCAATTATTACACACCTAACGTTTAATAGGTGCCTAATAAATTCTTGGTAATAAATGACAAAGAATTTTCTTTCTTTCTTTTCTTCTTTTCAGAGTACGCAGCGCTGACTCTCACATTCCATCGCAAATAACCCACACTGCGCTGTCTCAGATAAGCCGAGTCCAAGATGTTTGGAAACAAGTAAGTGTTAGATTTTATGAAACAGTGAAGGAGTTTTTAAAGCTAACATAAAAAGAACATTTCAGAAAAATGAATTTGGCTGGAGGATACCAAGAAGATAAAGTCTCCTTTCAGATAAGGCGATTCTCTGAAGTGTGAAAATAGTCTCAATGAAATGCAGAAAACATATTGTTTCCAAATATAAAACCTATATGTTTATCTTGTCACAAAATTTGAAATTTGCCTTAAACATAAACAGTGGCTACATATATGGTTTCATAGATTATAAGGTTTTAAATATGTCAGATAACATTTGCGGATTATTTTTTTCTGATGAACATGTGAGAAATAAGACATTTTGACACTTTTTTAAATGTTTGTTCATTTTTTAAAAAATATTTATCCATTTATTAATCTATTTGTTGTGATTTTTCAAGCTGCTGTGTCTGAGACTCGAACTGCAGTCAGCTATGTGGAAATCCAGTGCCTTAAACACCATGCCACCCACTCACCCCTATACTTTGTTTTTTGAGAGGTTTTTGCTATAGTGCGCGTGTGCTCGCCAGAAAGACAGAGAGAGACAGAGAGACAGAAAGTGAGAAATCACTCCCCAGGGGGGATGGTCATGCCGCAATCCCTTCTCCTCCATTCTCCTCTCCGGATCTTGGGCACGCATGCACACGCGCCTGGCATGAGTTTAAGCCACCGGGCCAAGGACTTGAACTGCGGTCAACTACATGGGAGTCCAGCAACATAGCCATTACACTAACTGCTGGTCCCAAAGAATTTTCTGAGTGAGACTGAGCAAGAAATGGCTGAGGTTCCAGGGAATCTCTGCTCAAGGTATAACTTTCGAGAAATTAAGAAAGCAAAAACAAAAACACCTATATGTCCCTAGATGATCATCTGAATTGCTGAAGGGTCTCAACACTGTGCCACTGAGTCAACATTTCCTTAGTCTGAAAGTAAGGGATGCAGATTTCCCAGATGACCCACCCCTACAAAAATGCTTCAAGTAAAACTCTCTTTGGTTGCAGTGTGTTCAGTCAGCCAAGTACATATTTACAGAACGTTTCTGTTTTACAGGTGTGATCCCTACCCTCAGGGTACTCGGAATCTAGCGGGGACACACACAGATTATCAGCAGTGCAAGTTAACATCTAGTATCTCAATCAGATGTCTCCACATTTTACACATGTGCTATGAAGGTATATTAGTATAGTTTAACAAGAAGGACGAACCGTATTAGCTAAACTTTGGTTGCCTTGGACGATGGGAACTTTAAAATGCCCCCCTCCAGTGATAATGCGTACACTCTGTTACTAACATCTGACAACTTTTCATCGAGTCCCTCTGTAATTTAGCTCTCCCCAAAATAGCGGGTTGGGTGGAAAGAAGCTTACAGAACTTGAATTGGGCCCTAAAACGGGATTTAGATGAGGAAAGGAAGAAAGGAAAAAGCACGCCAGAGGGAGTGGCAAGATGGGGAGGAAACAAGACTAGTGGCTACAGCTTTATGACCGGGAATGAACGTGGCATTTACTGCACGATCACCAAGTGTCAGGTACCGTGTTAAGTACATTGTACACACACCACCTCCTGGAGTCATCACACAGGGTATGAGGTAGGTGGGGTTATCCCCGTTTTACTTATGAGAAAACTGCCACAGGTCGTAGGGGCCTAAGCCGGCAGGAAACTGAGGCAGAGGCTCTCTAAGCAGCAGGTGTTGAAATCGTTAGAACACATAGTCTAGGTTGCTTTAGCTCAAAAAACAAAGGAGACAGGGTAGTTTCTGTTTGAAGCACAAAGTTGAATTTCACGGTGAAAACAAAAATTAAATCAGAAATTTTATGTTTATAAGAGTACTTAAAAAAAAAGCATCACACTAAAATGCAAACTGTGGTTGTAACTCAGGAATGGGATAATGGAGAATCTGAATTTTGTTTACTTGTAATTAAAAAAAAAATAATTATTTATTCAATTTTATTTATTCATTTATTTTTAATTTGACCAGAGAGAGACACAGAGAGAAAGAGAGAGGGAAAGTGAGAAAGCAAGCCACCAGGTCTGGGAATCGAACCATGGTGGGCCATGTGGGAGTTTCCAGCGCCTTAACACCACGTCGCCTGCTGGCCCCAACTTGTAATTTTTAATATGTGTGAAATATATATATTTATTATGAACTTAAAAAATTCTAAGTTTATCATTCTCATGCCTGTAATTGTCCTGTGACATAAGCAAAGGGCAAAAACAAAAACAAACAAACAAAAAATAGGTTTAGGAATAATTCTTATTCAGAAAGTTCTGAGGATAAAAATACCTGGAACAAAATCAGATACTTTTTTTTTTTCTAAACAAGAATTTTTATTATTAGGCTTGTTCTTGCATCCTCAAAGTAACCACACCTGAACGAGTGGAAGTATTGATAATTTATCAAGCATTTTGCAATGCCACCACCAGTCAAGTGATAGGTGGCTAGAAAGGATCAAGGAGACAAATATATTTTTCTGGCTTGTGGCCTATCTCAAGAGATGAGTCTCACAAAGCTTTGCATGGCTCTCTTGAAGCCACTGCGATAAAACTTGACTTAGAAAGTCAAAAAGCTTAGCCAAATAATGGGAGATTGCAGGTGAGAAAAGAACAGCACATTAGAAAACAGGACCCATGATTAAAAGCCATTTTTCCTCATCCTGCTCAGATATTTCTGAAAGGAATCTGGAAACTAACTGGCTAGTGATAGGAAATGTTGTGGACTGGTATTTGAATGGCTAACATACTTGTCAAGATTCCAGCAGTAATTGGTCCCACGATGCCCATCAACAGGATGCTTACAGACATGAACCTACCATATTTGTGATGTCTGAGGGTGAAGAGGGCCAGTAATCCAGCAGGGACATGAAAGAAGAGAGAAGACACCAGTGCCCACAGGAACACACCATACCACATCTCTACCAGGAAAAACAAAGAAACGTTGCAAATTACAGACTGTCTCAGGGCAGTCACTGCAAAAGGGTCTTTGTCATACCCAGTGATTTCATTTTCAAAACCATTGAGTTGCAGTGTAGGTTTACCGGTCCAATATCCAAACACTGATAGTTTCAGAATGTCAGCAAGCTACCACTCACAGGCCACCTTCTATTTTTATACGTAAAGACTTATTTGAATTCATGACTTTTCATCGAACTATTGTCTATAGCTGCTTTCCAGCCACAAGGGCAAAACTGCTAATAGTGACATAGGCCACATGGCCCTCAGTGCCTAAAATATTTACTAGCTGGCCCTTTGCAGAAAAAGTTGGCCAACCCTTGACAAGATGACCTTCATACTGAAGAAAAGAAAAAAGTTCACTTAGATTTGAAAGTTCACCCAAATAATTACCTTCCCATAAGAAGTCTAAGTACTGGGAACCAGCAGTTAGCGTAATGGCTATGTCGCTGGACTCCCCCGTAGTCGACTGCGGTTCGTGTCCCGGACCCGGTGGCTTAAAACTCACGCCGGGCGCGTGTGCGTGCGTGCCCAAGATCCCGAGAGGAGAATGGAGGAGAAGGGATTGTGGCGTGACCATCCCCCCCAGGGGGTGATTTCTCACTTTCTGTCTCTATGTCTCTCTCTGTCTGTCTGGCGAGCGCACGCGCCCTACAGTGAAAATCTCTCCAAAAAAAAAAAAAAGTCTAAGTACTGATTAACGGGGCAAAACAATGCATGTTTCTTTTTCACTTTTTGGAGAGGTTTTTGCTATAGGCTGCGTGTGCTCGCCAAAGAGACAGAAAGTGAGAAATCACCCTCTAAGAGGGATGGCCACGCCGCAATCCCTTCTCCTCGATTCTCCTCTCAGGATCTTGGGCACACACGCACACGTGCCCAGTGTGAGTTTAAGTCACCAGGTCTGGGACTACATGGTCGACTACATGGGAGTCCAGCGACACAGCCATTATGCCAACTGTTGGTCCCTATTTATTTATTTTTTAAGAGGTTTTTGCTATAGGGCGCATGCACTCACCAGAAAGACAGACAGAGACAGAGACAGAAAGCCAGAAATCACCCCCAGGGAGGATGGCCACACCTCAATCCTTTCTCCTCCATTCTCCTCTCAGGTTCTTGGGCCCACATGTACACACATGAGTTTAAGCCACCAGGTCCGGGACTCAAACCATAGTCGACTACATGTGAGTCCAGAGACATAGCCATTACACCAACTGCTGGTCCCTCAAATACAAATATTGATACCAGATAAAGTGATAGGGCTGGCTCTGAGAGCTGGTTCCTAGGAGAATCACTAACTATTCATAAGGTGACTATAATTCAGGCAACATTCAGATGTTTGGTCACCAGCTTTGTGAGGAACTAGCAGACAGCATCATGGTTGCATCGCTGTGTTCCCACATAGTCAACTGCAGTTTGATTCCTGGACCTGGTGGCTTAAAGTTCATGCCAGGTGCAAGTGCATGCGTGCCCAGAGTCCCAAGAGGAGACTGGTGGAGAAGGGACTGCAGCGTGGCTATGCCCCCTCAGGGATGACTTCCCGCTTTCTGTCTCTGTCTCTCTCTATCTCTCTGGTGAATGCATGCGCCCTATAGCAAAAACCTCTTTTTAAAAACAAACTATACATGAGGCACATTAGAAAATACAAAAAAGGGGGTCCAGCAGTTGGTGTAATGGCTATGTTGCTGGACTTCCATGTAGTCAACTGAGGTTGGAGTTCCAGACCCGGTGGCTTAAACTCAGACCGGGCGCGCACGTGTGTGCCCAAGATGCCGAGAGGAGAATGGAGGAGAAGGGACTGTGGCGTGGCCATCCCCACTGGGGAGTGATTTCTCGCTTTCTGTCTCTCTGTCTCTCTCTGTCTTTCAGGCAAGCACCTGCACCCTATAGCAAAAACCTGTCCCCCCCCCCACCACCAAAAAGAAAAGAAAAGAAAAGAAAACTATACCATTCTCCTCGCAAGAGACTTTATAATTTGGGAAATGGCAGAAACATCATTTTTGCCCAATGAACCCCAGACAAGATTTTAGAACCCTTGAAATCTCTCTCAAGCTACCATATGGAGAGAATGAAGGTGATACAAAAGCGAAAACACACGCCTGCCCTTGGCCACAGGTAAGTAGCAGGACAATTTTAGAGATAAATGAACAGCTTCCCAGAAGGGTTTCTTGACCATCATATTACTGTGGGGGCTGCCTTGCACACTATAGAATGTGGAACCGCACCGCTGGTTAGCAGCACTGGAAGTATTTGCAGACATGGCTAAATGTTCCCCAGAGGACAAAAACTGTCCTGATTAAAAATCACTGCCTTGGGGACCAGCAGATAGTGGTTACGTTGCTGGATTCCCACATAGTAGACTGTGGTTTGAGTCCCAGACCGGGTGGCTTAAAACTCATGCTGGGTACATGTATGTGCAGGCCCAAAAAAAGGAGAACGGATTGTTGCATGGCCACCCCTCCTGGGGGGGGGGTGACTTCTCACTTTCTGTCTCTCTGATGAGCACATGTGCCCTATAGCAAAAATCTCTCTCTCAAAACAAAAAAAGAAAAAAAACCCACTTCCTTCACCAAAGCAAAGGGTTTATAAGAGGCTGTTAAAGCTAAAAGACAGATGGGGTGCCATTATCTGGGGTTTGAAGACTAAGGTCTACAACATGAAAGTTTTACAAGGCCCACTAAGGGTTGCTGGCAGTGGAGGCTTGCCTAGACATTATTCCACAGCTCTACCCAACATTCCCAGTCAGAACACAAACCAAAAATCCACCTTTTGGGAGAGTACAGAAGTCAGCCGTATGCACCCTTTGTTCAGTATTTTGAGTGTTTCCACTTTCAAGAATCTATCCTACAGGAGTAAGATATAGGCAAGGAGAGGGGCAGCCAGAGGTCCTGGCAATACTGTCTGTAACAGCGAACCCTGGAGGCCAACTGCGTGGCTACCATTGCAGGATCTGTAAATCACGCTCTGGTGCAGCCACATAACGGAGCATTCCCGAGGCACATAAGAAAACTAGACAGGTCCACAGGTGGGGTTTTCAAAATGTTCACGGAAATGCCTATTATGGGGAAACTGTGGAGGATTTCAAAAAATTTTGGCACCAAAATACACTCATACTTTAATTCCACTTTCCACAAACTTTCTGAAGTGCCCTTGTACACAATGACAGGGTAAGATGTCCAAGCTGGGGGCTCCTCAGCACAGCGGGAATGTGCTCCAAAAGCCAGATTCCACATGACAACCCTGGTTCGCATCCCCAACCCACTTAGCCTGAAACACACCAGGCACACGTGTGAGCACACAAGATTCAACAGGAAGGACGCAGGAGATCGCCCTGTGACCTGGCCTGTGTGAAGTGCTCCCATCTCAAGCTCGCACTGTGTCTCACATGTGTCCTTTCTCATCAGTCAAGGAGAAAAAAAGATGCTCAAGCTAACTTGTTAAGGAAAAAAGCAAGTTTCAAAATAGTATGTAGGATAGGATCCCATTTCTATAAAAACAAAATACACTGACACGTGTGTATAAACACATCTTGTACTCAGAGAAAGCACTGGCATGTTTGTTTATTTTACTAATATTTACCATGCACACAGGCGCTGTTCTAAGTGCTTCAGAAATACCAGTGCTTTTAGTCTTCAAAACAACTCGAAAGATTTTTTTTTTTTTAAGAGAGTGTTTTGCTATAGCGTGTGTGTGCTCGCCAGAGAGAGAGACAGAAAGCCGAGATCACCTTCCAGGGGGATGACCACACCACAATCCCTCCTCCTCCATTCTCTGCTCAGGACCTTGGGGAGAATGGAAGTGGGGGCAGGAAGGCCCGGGGCTAGGTCTTGAGGCTGTTCTTGCACTAGAAGCATACTGCTGTGTGTGCGGTCTTCCTGAGGTCAAGTGAAACAAGTTTTACAACAGTGTCTTCATGCAGTTTATACAGGCTTCTTATTCTTGGGTTTGGTGCCTCTAAGAGATTAGAGAGAGCCAAATCCCCCGAAACCAGCCTTGTCACTGTCACAGATGACTGCTCAAGTTCTTAGCTCATTTTGAGCCAAATAATATCATATTCTGAATATATCTAAATTAGGGTGTGCTAAGGCTTGTTTTGAATCAATGGCTCCTTTTTTTTTAATTTAAAAATTACTTAATTTATTATCAGGGCCAGCAGGTGGCACGGTGGTTAAAAGCGCTGGACTCCCACATAGTCGACTATGGTTTGAGTCCCGGACCTAGCAGCTTGCTTCCTCATTTTCTTTTTTTGATTGGAGAGGTTTTCGCTATAAGGCGCGTGCGCTCGCCAGACAGACAAAGAGAGACATAGAGACAGAAAGCAAGAAATCACCCCCCAGTGGGGATGGTCATGCCGCAATCCCTTCTCCTCCATTCTCCTCTCGGGATCTTGGGCAAGCACGCACATGCGCCCGGCATGAGTTTTAAGCCACCAGGTCCAGGACATGAACCGCGGTCGACTACGTGGGAGTCCAGCGACATAGCCATTACACTAACTGCTGGTTCCCGCTTCCTCACTTTCTCTCTCTCTCTCACTCTGTCCCTTTCTAGTCAAATTCAATATAAATACATAAAGTTTAATAAAATAATTATTTTTAAAAATTACTTAATTTATTATCATTATTATATTATTTAATTTGGTATAGGGCACGTGTGCCCACCAGAGAGAGACTGTATGAGTGAGAGAAAGTGAGAAAGCAAGACACCAAGTCTAGGATACAAGCCACAACCAGCCAGGTGGGGTCCAGCACCCTAACCACCATGTCACCTGTTGGCCCTGGATGAATGGCACTTAAGGAAAGCCCAGGTGATGTCCCATCTAGGCCTCAAAGCTTATGAAAGCAGATGGTGTGGTGTCTAAGAAGCTGGATTCCCACATAGCTGACCACAGTTCAGGTACCAGACCTGGCAACTTGAAAATTATACTGGGCACATGTATGCAATGCACACGCCCAAAATCCCAGGAAAA